ACAGTACCCTGCTTCCCTGTATACACACACTTCTGAGGGCACACATTTTTCCCGGCCTTCTTCCCCAACTTAATACATTTCCCAACATCCTAGACAGAAATTGCTCTTGAAGAGTCTGTCAGCAATTTAAGGGTAAGACATTTCACCCAAAAGTGAGGTCAAAATGTATCCCAAGCTTTATCATGTGGGACTCTTACGCCCTCAGGGTGGTTTGTTTTGAGGTGTGTGCTGACCACTAGAGATGAGCTTTGAGTGTCTTGCAAGCTCCATCGATAAGCCTCGCTTGGCTGAGCTCCAAATCTTGTTCTTAGAAACTCTTGCAAAACCTGAATATTTTGTATAATTTCCAAACTCCGACTAAGTTACCTGATACTTTTATCCCAAGACTAGTAGGCAGAATGAAAAATCCAATTTGTTATATAAAAACCAGAACTTCACTCCGGTGAAGACAGGGGTGAGAGGCATCCTTCCGTCTGGGTAAGCAAATGCTCTCTCCTGAAGTGACTCTGATAAAAACAGATCAAGCAGGGCTTGTTTCTTGTTTGTTTGCAGTGTTAAAATCAAGCCTGGACTTGGAGTTGCTGGATAAATACTCCAGCAGTTATATCCTCTGCCCAGAGCCTGATCTAAAAAAAAAAAACATACTTGGAAAGCAGAAGTCTTCAGAATACAGAAGCAGTCTTATTGACACGCACAATAAAACGAGCATCTTACTACCTCAGACTATAGATTTCAAATGTTTCTACAGTTTTCCTCCAGTCTAAAGCTTTTAATTGCAGATTCAAGGAGAGCTGTACTTCCAAAAAGTCTGTGTGGGACTGGGGAATGGCTCAGTCAGTGAAGGATTTGCTGTCCAAGCGTAAGGACCCGAGTTCAATTCCCAGAACCTATGTGAAAACCTGGGCACAGAGGAGCGGGCCTGTGACCCCAGGGGGGGGGAGACTGAACGAGGAGGCTCCTTGGGGCTCACTGGCCAGCCAGCATCACAGAATCCGTGAGTGTCACATCAGCGAGAGACCTTGCCTCACACACTGAAGAGGAGAACAGCAGGTGTTGGCTTCTGACCTCCACACTTGCATCTGTGTTCACACACACGGGCACACGAACACACACATATTCACTTACACATATACACACACATGCACCAACAATTTTAACATGAAAGAGGAGAAAAATTATCTTTATTTTATCATTTGTTCAGTAAATCCATCATGGAATTTTGTTTTGATTCAGGGATGTGTCAGTTTTTCTTCTTAAGAAGATGGAAGATCTTTTAAATATATTGTCCCTTAGAGAAAAAAAGCTTCAAAGTATTTGAAATAAGAGGACTCCTCTTAGCACCAATTCTTTGTTTAAAGATTGTACAATGGGTCGTTAATTTTATGTGGAGATATCTGTTATCTCCATTAATGCATTGCATTAAGACAACTGGCAAACAATAGACTATGGCTTTTCTAGTTGTCATGTGTTCTTTTTAGGAAAGTATTTAGTACTGTAGGAAAGTTAGACTAATTAGTGATGAGGTAAGCTCATAAATACAACCTGTGATTAGTGAGGCGGCTCGAGAAGCTTCAATACAGTGAGATTAACCCTGAGTTTATAACGTGTGTCTCCTATAACCTTTAAGTAGTAAGCACAGGGCTGGATGGCTCCCTGGTGAATAGCCCTTGCTGCTCTCTCAGAGGGTCTGGGTTCAGTTCCCAGCACCCACACTGACATCACAACTGTCTGTACTCCAGTTCCAGGGGATCTGATGAGCTTCTGGCTGCCTCAGACTCCTGCGCACACGGTGCATGTAAACTCGTGAAGGAACACAAATGGATAAGTACAGCTTTTATAAGTACTCAGCATAAGATTACACTTTTTTGGAATTCTTAAATGTATTTACAGAAGAAAAGGGAATCCCACTCCCCCCCCCCCATGCCTTTTCACACTGTTGTAGGATGATTTTCCTCTGTGAATATTCATATACTTTCTAAAATTCCTCTTTGGCCAGATGCCCAAATGAGCTGGTTTTGCTAGCACACTTCACGGTTCTAATGAGTCTTTCTCCATGTCTGTTTAAAGGTCTTCTTCAAACAACTGCTGATGAGTTTTGCTTCTACCATTCGAGAAAAGATGGCGGCCTGTGCTTTCCAGATTTCCCAAGAAAGCAAGTCAGAGGGCCGGCATCTAACTACTTGGACCAGATGGAAGAATACGAGAAGGTGGAGGAGCTAAGCAGGTCCATACGGTTCGACGCTCTTCTCCCCCAACCCCCCGCCTCTCTGTCTCTCTCAATTCTCTTTATTCTTTAAAAAAAAAAAAAGTAACAAATCTGTGATTTGGACAGGACACACCTCTCCATGGTTATGCTTGGGAGCCATAGACTCCACACGCATTAACTTCTTTTTCCTCTCAGGGGTTTGTCCCTCTAAAATCAGCTTAAGTGCACTGAATACTCAGACTCCTAATCCTATGTTATGAGCTTGGCTTCTCCATGACTCATGGGAATTTTATGGGCACAGTGTTCAACTTGAATTTTATGATTGTTGTTAGCTTTATGGCACCATGGAAATATTCAGCACATTTATTATTAGCAAATCAGTTTTGCTTTATATAAATGGATCTTAGAACTTTCTCCTTAAATGCCTTCTCATAAAGGCTCATTATTGTGAGTAAAAGCGAATTTTAATTATAGTCACTGAAAGATGAGATAATGAGTGAGTAACATTCCAGAACAAAACGTTTGCGGCCTCACTTTTACTTTCTGAGAAAAGGATATCTTGTTATTTTTCATTGAAAAGATGATACGGATTAACAAAAAGAATCCCATTAGAGACCGCCCGTGTGAGCAGCCCTTCCTGGTTTTCAAGACCATTGGTTCTTGGAGGAAATGAGTACTTTTGGGGAACTGTGCTGTGTGCATCGTTTGTACCTCCGTCAGGAGAACTGACTGGCGTTCTCTGGTTTGTTTAGAAAACACAAACACAACTGCTTCTGTGTCCAGGAGGTTGTGAGTGGGCTGCGGCAGCCTGTGGGTGCTGTGCACAGTGGGGACGGATCCCAGCGCCTCTTCATTCTAGAGAAGGAAGGGTATGTGAAGATTCTAACCCCAGAAGGAGACGTTTTCAAGGAGCCTTACTTGGACATTCACAAACTTGTTCAAAGTGGAATAAAGGTTGGCGTTTTCTATTTCTTTATTTTGTTCTGGCTGCGTAGGATTGATCTTAAATGTCTTCTTCTTCACTGGAGGTTTATTTTTGTAATAAAATAAAGAATATCTACAAGGGGAAATAACGAGACACCCTAAGAGATCAACAGTCACAACTCAGAAGGATAGTGACATTTTGTTTGATTTACTGGCTATGGAGAAATACAACCAGGGTGATATTTTGACATGCTTACCCTATGTAGTGTTCATATTTAAAATAACTTTTGCCTTTGGCTCTTCGTTAATGGGCATAAAATTTTATATTACACGTTCACATTTCCGAGGAGAACAAAGATGTTATTTTGGAAATCGTAATTAATTCTTTTATCATGCCTTCTTGTTTGGGCCATGAAAAAAATGTTTTTTGTACTATGACTTCTTTGTACAGGTAAGTCAGACATTTTTATCAATAATTAGTCATCTGTAGAATGCGTAAGCATACCCATCATTTCTTTCCCACTTATTCCTAATTTGACTTCTCTAGTCAAATAACCTAGGTACGTAAATTAAGTGTCCTGAAGTTCACATGAATAGCAGGTGATGTTGGCGGTAGGAGGCTGCATGGCCGCTGCAGCGTTCTGGAACCAAGACACACACACCAGCCACTGGCTGTCAGAGTGAAACAGAAAGTCACGGGCATCAGGAAGAACTGCTTATCCTTCTCACTTTGTGAGTGGAAACAGAACTAAGGGGGCTCTACATCCTGAGACTCATAGATAGGGAGTCCTTGATTTGTGTCCTGTTCTCAGTGGGGAGACAACCAAAATCAGAAGGGACCAATGAAAGAAAGGTAGACTCCCAATAGCTGTTCAGTAAATACTGGGTTAAAAAAAAAGTTAGAATGAGTCAGTGAGA